AGTAGCCTCCATGCCTCTGATAAGCACACCATTTTAAGCTGGTGCACCGCTAGTGTAACTTTGTTTTCGTTTTGCGCAAGCTGCAACAGTTCCGTTCCGTGTAACAGAAACACTCGGTTTAGCGGAACCTTTACGATTAATTATCCGTGACGTTTTAAAGTGCGGTTAATCGCGAAACCGGTTAATCGCTGCATCCCTACTAAAGAGAAAACACTTTCTGGTCGTGCTGTTACCGCTGTACTTGTCTGTGCCAAATCTATCTGTCGATCACTAGCAGCCAAGATGTCTGCATCTGCAACTTTAGACTCTAAATATTTACAGATGTCCACTCAAAGCCAGAGCAAAGACAAATCAATCAGAGTAAACACCAAAGACCCAATTTATTATACGTATGAATACAGATTCCACAATCTAAAACCACTTAACAGCATAAGGCAGTTTATCAAGGCTTCTCTAAACTCAAGAAATCAAAAAAGAAATTTGTAATCTAAGCTGATGCGTTTATCTAAAGCAAGTTACAGTACACTTTTTATAGGGACAGTCCCCTTGAGGCAAACTGGGGTTAAATGCCTTGCTCAAGGGCATCATCCCTTATGAGATTTGAACCCATGACCTATCGGGTTGCCAGTCTAGACCCTTAACACCAACCACATGTACCTCCTAACTGCTAAAAGCAGTTTTATATAATGAGATGAAGTTTAAACCAAAAAAAGGACACTTTTCTATCCATCAGGCTTTAATATTCCACCTTGCACACCAATTTCTCTACACACCCACTTCAATTTCTCTATAATTCACTTCAAAAACGCCTTTCAACATTTAAACCATCTGAGCACGTCAGGATGGCATCTCCCTCAGGGAAATATATATGCTTGCAGCGTAATTCACCATCGCTGAATCTACAGACAGCTCGTGGAGCCATCTGTGTTGATTTTGAGTGATTGTACGAGGCAACTCGTTTGAAGCTGGACCAGCAAGCTCCCCTAGGAGATCTCAGTGAAAAGCCATCACTGTGAGATCTCTCACACCCATAAAACACACACTGTTCCCTAATAGCTTCAACTGACAAGATAAACAGCAGCCCTTATGTATGAAAAAGGACAGAACAATAGCAACCCAGCTCCTATCTGCTTGCACACACAAGGCTCATTTGGATATGAAAGGCATATCGGTATATAATTGGTCTATCACCTCACTGGCTTCAGCCTAATGACAGAGCGTGGATGATCTCATTACAGCAAAAGGAAAGCTGTGAAATAAATAAAATCAAAAGAGCTTGTGCTTAAAACCAGTCTTGACAGTGTGCTGCACTGACCTGTTCAATAAAAACAGACACACACACACACTTCACACTTCTTTAGTTATATTTACTTTGTGTGTTTTGTATCCTGAGGGAGACCTCTGCACTGGATGTTCTGGAACACTCCCCAAAAACACTGTACAATCTTGACTAATAAATAAAAGAGTGACTACCAATTAGGGCTGCACGATTAATCGAAATTAAATCGCAAAGGCGATAAATCGCGATTAGGCAGAAGCTGCGATTGTCATGCGTATCTTTCAGTGAAGCACGGTTCTGTGATCAGCAGTAAATCTCCATCCGAAGGCCAGAGGGCGCTCTCGCGCTGAAACTCCAAATACACCCCGCAGAAGAAATCAGGAAATGCCTATAGCGGTTGCTGAATAAACAGAAGATTTAACTGTTTTGATTAATTCAACGTGACTAATAAAAACACGACTACGACAATATATGGTTTATCCGAGTTCGTCTTATTATCGTTCGCGATAGTGAAAGCTCTTTGCATAGCTTCTCAGTGAACTACGGTTCTGTGAAGTAAATGCTTCTCCATCTGAAAGCATGTGAAAATACCACATTTAATAACATATTTTTACTCCAAACTCACTTCATAACGTCAGTCAAGTGTTTGAAATAAATACCACATTTGTTAAATATCACATGTTGCCGGCTCAACATCGTGATGTCTGTCAGCCATCGGCGATGGACGATGGCATCGTCTATTGGCCCAACCCTACTCACCATAGTCAAAAACATATTATTGAACGTGATATTTGGTAAACCTGTTAACACCACAATTATGTGAATGGCTCACGGAGCGACGGCCTTGTTGATGTGAGATTATTCTGACTGAAGGATGTGTTACTCGCGTTCTGCGTGAAGATGTGTGGGAAGTGTTGACTAACTCACCGCTGCTGTAGGCATATGGAGACTCAGCAGATCCGTCTTGAAGGCTGTCCAGGATCTCTCCTTTCCCCACATCACTGTCTCCCACCAGAAGGAACTTGAGCAGATAGTCGTAGCTCTTCACAGGGCTGCCCTGGGTGCCCATGATTGCTCACATCAGAGCCAGAGTCAGCGCAAAGAACAGGAGACAACTGTGTGTGTCCCTCTCTGATGCCAAAGATGGACCTTGATTCCTCCAGAGCTCCGGGGGTCTATGAGTCTCTTGTGTCAGGTCTATCTTTGAAAGGGCGTAAGGCCAAATCTGCAGACACACCAAAATCAAACTATTTCCCACCCTTCCAGTCCAGATCTAGAAGTGTTTAATCTTTAAAATGCCCAGCAGTATTCACTCTTCCAGTCTTAAAATAATGTAAATGTACAAATGCTTCAATGGCTGGCAAACTGAACAGCTAGGTTGTTTGCATGTCTTCACACAAGTTCTGAAAAACATTTACCAAAACAAATATTTCATCATGGCAAGTTATTGCTATAATAGAAAAGCAATTGAGCTATCGAGCTAGTGCATTGTTAGCATGCGCCTCCAAAGGTGTCAACACAAATAAATAATCTCATTACAATTTTATCTAGTAACCACCTGCACGGTTATGACAATATTACTAATAAGAATGTATATTTGTTATTGTAACACTAATTAAAACACATTAAAGACAAGCCGTTGTTCAGATGGAGTAACAGCATCGGCTAGCGCTACTAGCTATGAGCCTAGCGAGTCAACAACAGGCGTATAACGTCGATGTTATACCATTATTCTCTAGTCCAGCATAAACTCCTCACAATTACAACATATTCCTGTTGAAATGTGAGAAAGAAACTTTAGGCTGACAAAAGGATGATATCCACAGTCGCATTTCAGTTAGCTTGAGCAGCCGATGCTAGCGCGTCTGGCACAAATCATGGCTCTTCTGTTTTCCTCTGAATAGCAAAGATTCATGTAAATTCACGCTGCTCGGCTATAGATCTCTGCGCGTTATCAGGCGGTTCTGGGGCGAGGCTCGGAAGGTGAGCGATTAAACAATAATCCGAGCCGCTGGATATTATTGCTTGTGCTGTAAATGCTCTCGGATATCCAAATATGTCCCATGTTCTCTCACGCAGGAGAGAGAGATCACACACACTGTCACTCTGAGCTTTCACCTCCGCGTACTGCTGCGCACCTACTGACTGTACCAGTACCTCCCCCTACACACACGCACGCACGCACGCACGCACGCAGGCAGGCAGGCTGCGACTACAATCCTGGAGAGTTGCCAACCTAGACGCGTTTTGGGCATCAAAGTACTGTTTATTTTTTACATAAATTACAAAAATAATGTTAATAAAATAAAATATTTACTATAAATATAATTTAAATATTTTGAAATAAATAAAGTGAAAATGTTAATAAATTATTTCATATAAGGTGTAATTAAAATGTTTTAACAAAATTAACATAAACTAATAAAATTAAATGATAAATTAATTAATGAATTAATAAGTACCCACAACCCTAATAAGGACAAAATTTGGAGGATGGATGGATATTATTTAAATGGATCATAAAGATAGATAATATTTTAAATACTAAATAAATAAATAATATAAACATTTATCAAGACATTAATGAGCATTACGGGAAAAAAAATCTTTAGGTGTGTTTTGTATAAATGTTTAATGCCTTTGAATGTGCCTAACAATGTTGCCTAGGTAGGCAGCATGCTAAGTTTTGAGACGCAGCCATTCATACAGTACACACAACACAACCCACCTGCTACTGGCTGTCTAGATTCATTTGGTCTCAGTGTGTATATAGAGACAGGTGATGTATATGTCCAACAATCTTTTATTTATAACTATGTAACTGTTTAAACTGAGAGACAGTTGGTACTAATTCTATTTATTTTTGTCGGTCTGTTGTTAAATATTTTGTATTAGAAACACTCATCATGTTGTTCCAAACCTGTATGACTTTCTGTCTTCCGTGTAACACAAAAGGAGATGCTAGGTTGAACGACAGCCTCAGTTACCCTTCACTTTCACTGTATGGAAAAATTGTCATGCTGTGAAAGTGAATGACTGAGGCTGTCAGTTCCTAATATTGTGCATACATATATAAGGCGAGTAAATAATGATTTTTGGGTGAACTATCCCTTTAAATCTAACTTTTAAAAAATCTAAATGTATTGTTTTCACCTTATTTTTCCAGCACTTATAATACAGGTTACTGGTCTTGTGGCAGATGCAGGACTGGGGACAAGCCAGAGGTCTCTGCACTTTCTGGGATCAAAAGAAAATAATCCCCCTCCCCCTGAATAGATTAAAATGCAAATTGCTGTATGAAGCCCATCGAGATTACAGCTACATGAGGGTCTCAAGGGAGACAAAGGGACATCTGGACCCTGCATCAAGTTCTACACCAGCCATTAAAAAACATAAACGCTCACCCCCAACATATACATAATAGCGCTTGTTCTCCTAGGATGAGATATGTGACAGAATTCTGTCCATTTCCTTTTTATGGTCATATATAGAAAGCATCGAAAAATTTACAAACTATGACTATACACTATAAAACACAGACCTACTAATAGTAATTTATATATTAGACAACAGCTCAGTAAGTTTGGGGTCAGTGAGATTTTTTAATGTTTTCGGAAGAAGTGTCAGTAAAAACACTAAAGTACAGTAGAATCTATAATATTGCAAACTATATTATTATAATTTTAAATAACTGTTTTTATTTGAATATATAGGCTATTAAAGTGTAATTTATTCCTGTGATGCAAAGCTGAATTTTCAGCATCATTACTCCAGTCTTCAGTGTCACATGATCCTTCAGAAATCATTCTGATATGCTGATTTGCTGCTCAAGAAACATTTCATTTTATTTTTAATGTTGAAAACGGTTGTGCTGCCGAATATCTATGTGAAAACAGTGATGCATTTGTTTTTCAGGATTCTTTGATTAATAAAAGAACAGCATTTACTTTAAGTAGAAATGTTTGGTAACACTATAGGTCTTCTTCACTGTCACTTTTTGATCAATTTAATGCAGCCCTTGCTAAAGAAAAGTTTTATTTCTTGTAAACAAACAAACAAAAAATAATAATAATAGAGAAAGAGAGAGAGAGTTGGAGTTATAGTTATACAAGGGATAACATATATATTTCAACTTTCAACTACCCATCTTTGTGTCGGAAATACACAACTGTTTTGCCCTTAACAAAACCATGAAGGTGAATTAGCTCAGATGTTTTTCATGTGTCATTGAATAATCAGAAGCCACAGCTGTCATAGCTGTGTTGTGCTCTCAGTCCAGTCTGAGCACATTCTTTTCAGGCTGCTCTCCCAAACAAAAGATCCAAGACTAGAAATACTAGCACGTTTCTGAAAATGGGTAAACTTTAAATAGCAACTGTTTATAGTCCAAACATAAATCATACAAGTATGATTTAAGATGCACAAAGATACTGTAATATATAAAATGGTATTAAATGAACTTTATTGATGTAAATTTAGAGTTTGAAAATCAACAGCACAAATGCATAGTTTGATCATGATCATCTACATTTATAAAAATCTTGATTTGATTAAATCACTTATATTAATAATAATAGCTACAAAACAACAATTTGGCAACACTGACATAACAAGTGGTTCATGGTCAAATAATTTACACAAATCTGTATTAAATTCAACATTCAGAGTCAGTACACATTAGTAAGCTAGATTAGAATACAATATAATTAGTCCATTTTTAAATTTTCAGTGTTATAAAAAGTTGTAGATGTTTTAAAAAAAAAAAAAAGAATAATAATAATCACAGTTTCAAGCAAAGATTCTGATCAATGTTTGTAAAAGGAAAGATTGTGGTTTAAATCTAAAAAAAAAAAAAAGAATAATAATAATCACAGTTTCAAGCAAATATTCTGATCAATGTTTGTAAAAGGAAAGATTGTGGTTTAAATCTACAATGTAGGAATATCTACTTCTGTTAAAAACCTAATTAAGACTATCATGAAATTCAGTGGAGTCTGACCAATAGAGAACCTTCTCCCAGTGTTCATGTGTCTGGCTGCTGTTGGTCTACCAGGTCCCAAAATTAGTCCGTCTTGTCAGTTTTCTGCTTCCAGGGGTAAATGAGTTCTCCGACAAACAGCTTCTTGCACAATGCGGCCCAGGAATCCTTAGGGTAACAGCTATACGTGGGCGTCCGGTAACATCGCAGTACAGAGCTGCACTTCAATGGGTTGATCTGAAGGTGGAGAAAAGAAAAGACATTTTTCATTCATGCTTGCTCATCTGCTATATGATTCATTATCAAACTTTAGAGACAAGTAAAGGATGTCCAGTCTTTGCACTGCACACAGTGAGCCAAACGAAGCTATTCAATAGCCCTCATATCCATCCCACAAAATCAACAGGGCAAACCCAAACCACAAATGAAACCCAAGCATAAATAAACTACAGGATGACAAGCTGTTTTAGCAACAATCAACCTACCTCCATCATCAGGTGAAGAGGAGTTCCTGGCTCCTGGCAAAGCACCTTGAATTTAACACCCTCTGGAATACAAAAAGATTCATAAAGTGTTTAACTAACCAGTCAGTTATATAAACACATAATTAAGCAAGCGGTTTTCACTGAAGGTTAGTATATGACTGCACTACATGGCCTAGAAGTACATTCATAGTTTCATCTCTATCATCAAGTGTTATGTTAGTTACAAAATGTAAGACCTTTTTTGATTGATTTCTTCAGTGTGTTACAGTATGGCTCACCTGCCAGTCTGTACGGTCTGCAGATACGTTGGCCGATGGCAAATAGGGCGAAGGAGTTGATGAAGTCGACACTAAGGTGAATCACGCCCTGAAACAGCACCACCACCAGCCGCAGCTAGAAACAGAGAAACCAATGACTTGTTATTAATATATAAATTCTATATTTATGATTTTCTATATTTATGAATCATTAAAAAAACTGTATTATGTTTTCAATTGTCTTAATACAATAGTATTAAGCACCACAACTCTTTTCAACATTGATAATAAGAAATGTTTCTTGAACAGCAAATGATTTCTGAAGGATCATGTGACACTGAAGACTGGAGTAATGATGCTGAAAATTCAGCTTTGCCATCACAGAAATAAATTACATTTTAAAATATATTGCAATAGAAAACTGTAAAATTGTAATAATATTTTGTATTTAAAATAGCTGTATTTTAAATAGTAATAATATTTTGCAATATTCCTGTTTTTACTGCATTTTTGATCCAATAAATGCAGTGTTGGTGAGTATAAAAGACTTTCAAAACCATACAAAAAATACAGACCCCAAACTTTTGAACAGTAGTGTATAGGCCATTGCAAGCAAAAAAAAAAAAAACACATCAAGAGATAAGAGCTAAAATGTGATAATTACCTTATAATATTCATAATGACCACATTCATAAATAAATAAATAAATAAAAACAATCATAATATAGTGGCAAATCAATGCAGCTGACTTCTGGACTGACGTACCATTTGAAAAATATGAGCCGTAACAAGTGTGAAAATAACTGCATCAAACGGTTCAATGGGGTTGTTGGAATAAGGGTGAGGTTAAATCTCATGTCAGAGTGACTCACCAGGGTAAAGACCAGGTAATACAGGGCAGTGGTGGGAAGCAGGAACAGCAGAATCGTAAAGAGCAAAGTGCCAATGAACAACTGCAAAGGAAACAGAGCAGTGTCAGCTGTGTTCTGTAGGGATGTGCTGAATAGCTAGTGGTTGTGCAAGACATGTACCTGGTCCAGGTCGTATGAGCACGAGTCAACCCTCTGCCTCAATACATTCCATTTCTTTCCCCTGAAGAGCCGCCACAGGGAGGAGAGACCATAGATCTTCAGACAGTAGAGTCTGACAACAGAGATAAGAAAGTACACTTCACAAACAAAGAAACTGTGCTGCAAATCTCAGCAATTATTAAAAGCCCTGCAATGTTGTGCCAAGGGTAATATGAAAATAAAAGATGCAAGACTGTAAATATAAATGGCAAGTAGCTGCCCAGACAGATCTGAGATAGAATCTTAAAGAGATAGTACACCTAAAATTCCGTCATGGTTTATGTTCTCTCATGTCTTTCCAAACCTGTATAACTTTCTTTCTAGAATGGAACATAATATTCACTTTTATTTCACACAATGAAAGGGAA